AGAAAAATTGCATTATCTTATCTTGTTGTCATCAGTTAAACAGAATAGAAAGTGATGGAACATCATATAAAATCTTTAAGAAGTGTGCTGCTATAAACATGCATGCGCAGGTGTCTTGTTCAGGTAGTGAGTTCTTTTCCCTTGGGTAGATACCCAGTAGTGGGACTGCTGTATCAAACGGTATGTCTACTTTAGTCCTTTAGGGAATCTCCATATTGTTTTTCATAGCGGTTGTACTAGCTTATATTCCCACCAACAGTGTAAAAGTGTCCCCTTTTCAGCATATCCATGCCAACATTTATTATTTTTTTAATTATGGCTATTCTTGCAGGAGTAAGGTGTTATCTCAATGTGGTTTTAATTTGCATTTCCTGGACAGTGAGTTGAGCGTTTTTTCATATGATTGTTGTCTGTATATCTTCTAAATACCCATCAGCCAACAAATGGATAAAAAAAATGTGGTATATATACACTATGGGATACTACTCAGCCATAAAACAGTATGAAATAATGGCATTTGCAGCAACTTGGATAGAGTTGGAGACCATTATTCTACAAGTAACTCAGGAATGGAAAATCAAATACTGTATGTTCTCACTTATAAGTGGGAGCTAAGCTATGAGGATGCAAAGGCATAAGAATGATATAATGGACTTTGGGGACTCAGGGTGAAGGGTGGGAAGGATGAGAGGGATAAAAGACTACAGCGTACACTGCTCGGGCAACAGGCACACCAAAATCTCAGAAATCACCACTACATAACTTTTCCGTGTAAGCAAAAACCACCTGTTCCCCAACAGCTATTTAACTAAAAAATAAAAAATAAAAAATAACTATATATACAAATATGGGTTCCCCAGAAAGACACGTTGATATGGAAAACATGTGGGTATTTTTCTACTTTCACAGTCAGAATTAAAACACGGGAAAGCAAACCCAGAGATTACATATATAACACCAAGGTGAGAAATATAAGCTCAAAGAATGGGCATAGGAAGGAAAAGTAATTCAAAGACATAGGTCGAAGCTGCAGAACCACAGTGTCTCATAAGCTGCTAAGAACCTAGCACATGTATCTGGAGAAGTAGGTTTATATTACTGTGCTTTATCAATTAACTCAGTTCTGCAAACACTATTGAGTCCCTAGTATGTGTCAGGTATCCTGTTAGGTGCTGTTGAGGGAAAAGGCATGAGTCAGGCAGCCCATGAGTCTCAAAGTTCAGACTCCACTAGAGAAGACAGGTGCATATACAAGCAAATCTATTAAAAACACATTGTCATAAGAACAGTATACAATGCATGAGGTTATGGGGTAGTAAAGAACAGTTTGCCATTAGAATACAGTACAAGATTTGGGATGATTCTAGAGTTAGAGGGAAAAGACTTGAGTGCCAACTCGGCTCGGAGCAGACTGTGCTTCTCTGAACAAATAACTTACACCTTCTAGACTGCAGTTTTCACATTCACATCAGAACAAGATGGATTGCGTGATTTCTATTAGTTCTAACTTTCTGCATTTGTGGTTGAGCTTCGTGAAGGTCAACTTTTAAGCAATGAATTAAAAGACTGTAGAAGCAGGAAACTGGGGGACAAGTACATGCTAAAAGCAAAAAACAGCATGAGCTGAGGCAATACAGAGCATAAGCTGTTATCACCAATGCATCCTGGAAATAAAACCTGTGCTACCTACTATCTTGGGAATTTCACTAAGAGTATAGAACATTCTGAATGAAAAAAAGAAAAGAAAAAGAATGGTTATAAACTTTTAAAATGTGTAAACATTTAAACACAATAGACATAAGTTACAAAAATGTTCAGAGTAACAGAATGCACTGATAACATTTAAATTAAATATAAAGAAAAGCAAATCTACTTCCAACAAATACATGGATACATCTTCGTGTCATACAGCAGATGCAGAAATGTAGCTTCTATTTTAAAAAGTCTGAATGTCCATAAACTGTTCCCAAGATTTGTCTTTATCTTATATATTAAAGGAAAATTTCTTCTCTTGCATATTCAGAAAAGGTAAAGGTTATTATATTTAGAGAGAGGGGGAGAGAGAAAAAGAGTGAGAATTGGCAGAAATGCAAGAGAGAACCAAAATTTCAGAAAACAAAAGACTGAGTTATACCATATTCCAAACTGCTTTGGAGAAGCATTACTGAGCAGTGCACTCACCCAGCCAGCCATCCGCCAGCCATCCAAATATATATGCATACATAAGAACACACAGACATACATTTGACCATATGCAACCATTCCTACTAAAAACACAGTAGCATAATATGAGCTATGAGGAACATAAGGACGAGTGAGAAACCATGTCTTGTTGCTTCAATGAGGAAGCAAAGCTTATATATATTCTTATAAGGGACGCAGGGACGTATCACTGTAATGTGGGGCTTGGTGCCACACGTGCTGTGAATAGAAGGACAAGCAGTATCACGTGCTGGATATGGACAGCAGCCTTAGTTCAGAAACATACTCCAAACAAATCATAGAGAATGTCACCTCCTTTAAGCTTCCATTTCTTTATAAGAAAAATTAAAAAAAAAAAAAACCATTTTGTAGGGTTACATAATAAGGCAATAAAATCATAATGAGAAAGCAAAGCGCCTGGCATGTACTACATGTTCAATATGGGACAGAATGTAAGCGGCAGCAATAACAAAAGTAGTAGAAATTTGGATAAGTCAAAGAATAAGATGTGGAAACCCGGGGAAGGGAGTAATTACTTCTGATCTAGGCCACACCTAGACATTTTGGAGAAAGTGATACAAACAGAATTTTAGCAGGTAACAAAAACATGTGGGGTGACATGTTGAGAGGGGACCAAGGACTGTGCGCTGCAGAGCATGCAAACAAATCACTTCTCTGTTCCTAGAGAATAAGACAGCGGGTGAACACACATAGTACAGGGAGAGCATGTCAAATTCACAATAAAGGAGTCTAAAGGGAGGCCACTATGTGCTTCTCTTCTCCCTATCTCATATATGCCATTTATTAGCCCTCTTAATATAGGGTCTGCCCTCACCATAATGCTCAGGCCTATAAGAATTCTCATATCTACAAAGACTTCCTCACACCTTTGCCTTTTGCTCTACAACTGGACATGTCTCTATTCTGTTCAGATTAGAGGGAGGTCCACTGAAGCTTTCCCCAGAAATTAGGTGACAGAACAGCAATGCCCCTAGTCAGATGACAAAGGGAAACACTGAAAACATAAATGAGGGCCAGGCACGGTGGCTCACGCATGTAATCCCAGCTCTTTGGGAGGCCGAGGCTGGCGGATCACCTGAGGTCAGGAGTTCGAGATGAGCCTGACCAACATGGAGAAACCCCGTCTCTACTGAAAATACAAAATTAGCCGGGCACAGTGGTGCACGCCTGTAATCCAGCTACTCGGGAGAGTGAGGTTGAGAATCACTTGAACCCGGGAGTCGGAGGTTGCAGTGAGTCAAGATCACGCCATTGCACTCCAGCCTGGACAACGAGAGTGAAACTCCATCTCAAAAAAAAAAAAAACATAAATGAGGAAGCCAACATATGGCTCCTCCTGTCCCTATGAAGAGAGATTCTCTTCCAGATCCCATTCATCCCATTCCCAAGTCCTGAAATCACTAAAGAAGGATGAGTCAAAGAAAGCCAGTTCCACTAAGTGATTGATAAATTGCGAAGATGCAGTCTCCTTCTAAGGCAATAAAACATCATGGAGTGCTATAGAGATTAGTACAGCACCAAAGGCTTCATTTACTGTTTTTCAGGAGCAGCTTTCTGAAGGTCTTGTTTTTGCACTTTCTGAGGCAAAGGATACCCAATGATCCACAGCTGCAGCTTAGCCATGCATGCTGAAGCCGGATCCTCTCTACCACCCAGCCTACGTGTTCACCTTACACAAGCCAGACATCTGAACTAGGCCTCTGGCACCCGACCCAAAATACTAATAGACTAGTAAAGTGTTTCCTGGGCGCAGGAGAGGACAGGAAAGAAAATAGGAGGACTGGACTATATCACAGAGTGTGAAACACCTGTGTGCAATACTGACAAAACAAACATTAATGTCATTCAAGAAGCAACTGGAAACATCACGGAGAGGGGTAAGATATTAATAATTTTTTTAATGGTGGGACAGGGACAGAAAACAAAGGGAGTTAAATCTCCTTTCACTGCCTCTTCTCTCTCAGCTCCTATTCTTCAGTTTTTTTGTTTGTTTGTTTGTTTGTTTTTTTAAGCTATTGTTTCTTGAGTTTGAATAAGCTGCTAGCATTCGTTGGTAAAAATATGGAACCTTTTCAATCAGAGTATGGTACCATTTATACTGCCCCTGAGGCTTCGTGTGTGAGTGTATACACACACATACACACGAGAGCTGGAGCTCACGTAGACCTTCAAACTCTACGTGACGTAAACTAAATGCATTGTTATTAAAACCCCTGAAACTAGGCTTCACTCAAATTTGTCTGGGAGATTTAACCAATGCAAATCTCACAGAACACTCTAGACAACTTTATCCTTCAGCAGCCTAAGGGAAGAAAAACAGCCGGAGGAGGTAAACAATTCCATGCACTTTATTAGGTTCACTTTGTATAAGTGTCTGATTGGACTACTGCTTGGCAGCATTTGCGGACATTTGTCCAACGGCAAGAGGGAGGGACGACTGTCTGGTAGCTAAAACCCTACAAGAGAATGAGCTGGAGGTGGAAGATAATGCAGTAGAAAGGCATTGAGCTGTGACTAAAGAGGCCAGATTTCTAATGTGAGCTCTAACCCCATTTCACTATGTAATCATAGCCATATAACCCATAAAAAGTCTTTTTCCTAAAAGGGGAGGTTGGTCTAGACTATTTCCAGGGGCTCCTTTAATTTTAGTAGCCTATGACAACCACGCTGTGAATTCACAAACTACCTTTTTCTGACACAACTTTGTACTACAAATCACCTACACAACATTGAATTTTCCTACTCCAAGTAACCAACTCTGAAATCCCAGCACTTACCCTCACCTCCAGGTTGTTTGTATGGATTGTACTTAGGTTTTGGAGCAACTACTGGTGCAAACTTTTTGGGTGGCTGTTGTGTAGACACTGAAATGCTGGGGTTCCCAAAGGAATGGGTGGTCTCCATCCGTGCAGGCACATGGCCGAGGGGCTCACCAGTGCTTTTGGGTGGCAGCCAAGATGGGTGAGACATTGTTGGAATCTGCAATGAAAAAGAAACGAACACTGTTTTTATAGAAGCATGTAAATGAAGACAGTACTCCTCATTTCATTGCTACTTCATCTTAATCTATACTAAATGAATCTTGATAAAGTTCTCTGGAACGAAGGATGAAAGAAAATGGAAGACGGAAAAATGAAGAGGCAGAGGAATCATGAGTAGAAAGAGGAGGAGGAAGAGGAGGGAGGACAGGAAGAGGAGGAAGGAGAGGAAAAGGAGAAAGAGAGAAAGAGACTGAGGAGGAGCAGGAAGAGAACACTCGCTCAAACTTGAATATCTCCCTTCCAAGAGTCAACTATTTTAGTGCCTAGCACTGTTGGGAAATAGATGTGAATAAGAAATGGTTCCTAACTTGAAGGAGTTTTTATGGTAGGAGAATGGAAAAGAGCTTGAATTTTATTAATAATCTATTAAATTAATTATCTCTCCAATTAAATGGTTATGTCTAAATGAAGTGCTAAGTTACCTAAGTGAGGTTAAGAACAAGTGTTGCTGAGATGCAGAAAAACATAGGCTCACTTCTTGGTAGGGGCAGAATTAACAAGATTTTATTGATGAGGTGATACACAGACTGGGTTTGAGTGCTAAGCAGGGTTGAGCCTGAAAAATGTTAGCAAAATATATAGGCAGAAAAGTACACGGCATTTACGTTTAGTGTGCTTGGAGGGGGAATAACAGAAAGTAGCAAGCAAAAGAACTAAAAGGTGGGTTGAAACCAAAGCACAGACAGCTTAGCAGCCACTGTTGAGTTTAAATTCATTCTTCAGTTATTAAGGAACCACTGAAAGTTTATTTTGGAAACAAGGGTTTAACAGATACCTCGCAGGACACTTTTAAATGACCCATTGGCAGGAGCAGCTCTGGTCCCCACCAAGGGGCACGTGGAAAAGGGGAAGAGGGGCATATTGGTTGTCACAATGTCTGGGACAATTATTGGAATTTAGGGCCAGAGCATAGAATATTCAACACATGTAATGCAAAGGTCAGCCCTGCACAACAAAGAAATGCCCATCAACATGTATGCTGAGCTGATACCATGTTGGACCTTCACGAAAAGCTCACTTCAACTAGGAGGGAACAATCAGATCAGCCCAGACGCTGCTCCGATCAGATTGCACACACCGTTTGAAGAAAGGAAATGTCTCCTCTGTCAGGGTAAGCCAAACACCTCTCCAGTCAGCCTGCCTGCTGGGGATGAGACTCAGAGGCTGCCGCGGAGGAGGGCTCTCCAAGCCTGATTGCAAGAGCTCTCCAGCATAGGGACGCCCGGAAGGCACCCTGTACCCGCCCCCAGCCCAAAAGCCACCTACTAATTTATTAATTGAACCGAATTAATTAAGAGGGCTACATGATTACCTCCAGATGTCTGTAAAGACAAAGAGCATCAGAACACAGAAATCAAAGGCCTCAGTACATGGCACAGTAATAGAGAGACAGGGTGGAGGGGAGAGCTGGGAAAGAGTGCTGCCTGGACATTAACATCAGTCCACACCACCAACAAGTGGCATGACTTTGCACAGCATCTCCTCTAGAGCCTCAGATAGTTTCACTCTCTCAGAGGACTCAGCCAAGCACAATGGCTCACACCTCTAATCCCAGAACTTTGGAGGCCAAGGCACTTGAGGCCTGGAGGTTGAGAATAGCCTGGGCAATAGAATGAGACTCAGTCTTTACAAAAAATTAAAAAATTAGCGGGATATAATGGTGCACACCTGCTGTTCCAGCTACTCAAGAGGCTGAGGTTGGAGGATCACTTGAGCCTGGGAGACTGAGGCTGTGGTAAGCTGTGATTGCACCACTGCACTCCAGCTTGGTCAACAGAGGGAGACCTTCTCTCAAAAAACAAACAAACAAACATACAAACCTCTGTCTTCCTTAACTCTCAGAATTTTTATGGCAACCAATGAGATGATATTAAAGTACTTTTTATAGTATAAAGTGCTATGCAAAGTGAGAAAAAAAGATGCCTCTATTCTTATAGAAAGTCAATGGCAATTTTATGACTATCTTGCTTGGAAGAACAGCTTGACGTGCAGTTTTCTTAAAAGACAAGGATAACATGAATCAATGACAAAGACTCTAAACTGGGAATCAAGACACATGCTATTGAAGCCAGTGATGGTACTGGCTTTTCACTCTGGTTACAGGGCCTTTCTTTCCTTTTTTATCCCCTGTACCTTTTACATATTCGTATATACACACACATACATACATGTATATATACACACACACAAAGACACACATATACTTGCTAAACTGGGAGTTCCTTAAAAGGGTAAGGACCATATTTTACACATTTATAAACTACCATTAAGGCCTAGCACAAAACCAATATAGAAAAACAACCAATGAATGTCTGTTTTACTCATGGTTTTTAAATTTAGCTACACATTTGGAATAACTTGAGATGATTTTTTTTCTAAATACCAAAACCAAACCCATCTCACACGGCTGAGAAATGCCAATTTTGGTTTTGCTTTTGCTTTTAATTGAGGCTTGGTCTCCTACTAAATTGGGATAAAAGTGATAAAAGTGACTGGTTTGCTTTCAGTATGACTAAAGTGAATATAAGTGTGAAATAAAAGGGATCAAGTAAAGGTTTGAAACTTTTAATGCATTAAGCACATTTGTAGTATAAATGTTAATTATAATTTTTAAAATGGCTTAATACTGTCCTCGAAAGGTCTCTATAAATCTAACGTCATTTTACAATAAAAGGTTTAAAACTGGCTAATATAGGAGGCAGTAGTTTCTTTTTTTTTTTTTTTTGAGACGGAGTCTGGCTCGGAGGCAGTAGTTTCTTAAGCAAAGATTCACATTTTTCACAGCAATCCCAAGTTACTGACTGACTGTATCATCTTGGCTTTTCAGATATAGCACAGATATAAAGAAATAGGCAATTTCTGGGAGAGTATAAATAAAATTTAAGCATCAATATGCAAATCATTGGCTCCACAGTCATTTCAGTTGTCCCCCAGTATCATAAATTACCCGCACGCTGCCCTCCATGAAGAAGCACCTGCAGCTACTCCTCCTGAGAGGCCCATCTTCTGACCAATCATTTGTTTGCAGGTGACCTTTTTAGTATCTTCTCTCAGCATTCTTCTGCATGTCAGCAGTGACCCAGTGACACCATTCCCAGGATTTATAATAAGTTTTCATGATTCTGAACCCTTGCTCATGCTGTGTTCAACATCAACAATGCCGTTTACCTCTCTTCACTTTCTACCAAGCCCTATATTTTTATATTGTCCCAGCTCAAATGTCTCTAACTCTGTGAACATTTCCCTAACTCCTCCAAAGAAGAGAAGCTTAATTCCTTTTTCTGGGCTCTTTACTACTTTCTGCATACTTATAACAGTCCACAAGGAAGCCATTTATTTACCTGCCTACATGTCCCAACAAGTTGGAAACGCCAAGTAGTCTCACTATACTGGCACAATGCCTAGGCAAGAAGCCCTTACATAACTATCTTACACAGAAATGGGTCAATGAATGAACATTACCCTTTCTTAGTTACTCATATCTTTCTAGAATTGCTATAGCATTCACTGATACAATCATCTCTTTTTACTTTCCTTAATTTGGTGATGTAATGAAGCATGCTGATAGATTTCCAGATATTGAACTATCTTTGCATTTGTGGAATAAAATCCTATCTAGTCACAGCTGCAGTGCCCTCTTTAGCAATCACTGATGCATTAACCTCTTTTTCCCTCCCTTAATTTGATGATGTAATGAAATATGTTGATAAAGCCTAGATATTGAACCATCTTTGCATGCCTAGAATAAATCCTTTGTTACGGTTGTGTTTTGATATATTAATGAATTAACTAGGCTATTTTATTTATAATTTGTGTACATATAATCATAATAAAGAGCATTTTATAGCATTTTTTCTGCCTGTTTTACTTATCATGATTAGGTTTTGATAGGGGAGTTTTCTCCAACCTCCTCTACTGTCTAGGTTATTTAATAACTTCATTGGAATTATCTGGTTTTTTTAAAGGTTATCCAAATTCAGCATAAAGTCATCTAAATATATCTTCCTTTAACAGACATTAATCATATTATCAGTAACTTCTATGATAGTAGTAGTAGTTTTCTATTTATTCTGAGGTCATTTTGCAGTACTTTTCTGATAGAAATTCACTCCTTTTTTCCTAGGTTTGATCTCTCCTCTCTCTTAACCAAGCTACTTCTTGTCTAAAAATGACTTCCAATGTACTATGCATCAATTTAGATCATAAACATTACTTTCTACTAGTCCTTGAAGGTAAATCTTGCACTATATCCTACAGTTCAAGTTATATATCCTTATAGTACAATTCTACAGCATCTACATACTGTTGTCACATATTCATCACATGGTACCCTGCCCATCTGCTTGCCTTTTTCCCAAACTAAACTCTCAAATCCTGAGAGTGGAAATATTTACCATTTTATAATCCCAGGGCCTACACATGATAGGTACTCAATAAAAATGTCTGTTAATTTAATGAATGAATGAATTTATTTGCCTGGCACTGGCACTATAGATGAATCAGATTCCTATTCTTTACTCAAAGAGCTCAAAGCCTATTTGAGGAAGAAATATTTATAAATGTGAAAAGAGAAAGACAGTAACACAGAAAGCACAGAAAAATCTTGGGGGATGTCAGAAAAGCTAGCAGAAGCTTGGCAGAGGTAGCCCTTAACCAGGACTTTGAATGATGAGTAAATAAAAGAAAACTGGAGTAACAAGGGCAAAGATTAGAAATAATACTGTGAGCCTGGGTATGAAGCAAGGCATTTCTGTAGGACAGGGATCAGACCAGTGGTACCAAAATGAGGGATTCAGGGAGAATAGTTAGGGGAAAGTTCTAAAAGATAATGTGAGTCCTGCCTTTTAAAGGTCTTACATAAAGATAAGATAAAGATAAGAAGCTAGAGCTTTTATCCTTGAATAGGAAGATAACGAGAGTGAAAATTCCAGGTACTAAAAATTAAATCATGTAGGATGGATCCAAGGAAAGTGATAAATCCAATAGTATGGACATAGAGTCCCTGTGGCCCCAGTTCTAGTCTCAGCTATACTAGTGTGACCTTTACTCATTTGCAAAATGAATACCTGTAAAGTCCCAATCGGCTCTAATATCCTAGAGTGCTTTCTTTCTCTAAAATCTTAATTACAGCTCTTCATTTTGATAAACGGGTTTGATGAAACTTCACAAGTTTAATCAACAGATGAACTAGCACATATTACTGGGGCTTCTTGGCTTCTCATAGAGACCCATGTAAACCCAAAGATAAGCAGTGGTGAGAGCTGGTGTTGCTGGACCAAGATTCACACTGCTCTTACTTCCCCTCGTTCTAGATAGGTTTCATTCGAAGCTCATAATCATCATGAAAGCAAGAAGTGAAAGGGAAGATTTCCAGAGAGGCTCTGAGAATACACAACCACCATCAGCAGACAGGAAAGCAAGAGCAATGGCCCTCCTCTAAGCAAGATGCCTACTGCTAAAGAGAACTGGGGAGCTGCTGCTTCCTCAGCGTTGCTCTTTCAGAAATTGTCAAATGCAAACAATTAAGAAGAACGTAAGAGGTTTCACTTATCAACTTCTCTGCTGCTCTTCTGTCTTTTCCCCCAGCCATCCTAAGAAGACTAGAGACTGACAATAAATAACAAGTGTTTATTGAAGATTTATTATATGTCAAACAATTTTTCAATGGCCACACAGTCATCCCAACTGCCATATGAGGTAGCATTATCATTACCCACATCTAGCAAATCAAGAAAGAAAGACTGCAAGAGGTTGAATAACTTGCTCAAGGATATACAGCTAACGAACAGCAAAGCTGAAGCTGGGACACAGATCTTTGACTCCAAATCTCTCCAGTCTTCACTCTGTATTACCTCCTTATTTGGAGAAGAAAGGAAGACACCACAGATAAAAGGAAATCAGCACTTAACAGTTGTTTTTGCTCTTATTATTTCCATTCCAGCTCTTGAATTCTACTTGCCATAATGTTTTCTCTATTCTGTACCCTCAAATCTAATCATAATAAGCCACAGGACCACAAAGTAATGAGGCCAATAGTCAACAGACAAAAAAAAAAAAAAAAAAATCAAGGCACAACAGAATACAAATAACTACAAAAGGCTATGTGATGACCAGAAACCACCCCATACAGGTGGGAAAACTTAGGGCAATAGGCCAACTGACAGTTAATACTAACAAAGCTCTCTCAGGATACCATGTGAATGCCAAGTCACTGTCATCCACAAAAACAGAAAGAAGTAGTGTTTGGTCACATTTTCCTTTTTTTCCTCCAAATCAGTGTGCCACTCTTCTAAAAAGATTTATATAGATTACCAAAACTGAAAAACAAACAACCGTTACATCGTATTATCTAACATCCATTGCAATAAGCTTAGAGTACTGTTTATCAAAACAGTCTGCACACTAACCTCATACGGGGATCTTTATGTATATACTCTGATCCAAGCATTGAGAACAATTTACTTAGAGCATTTCTCTTAATCTTTAAATGACATTGTATAAGTCCCTACATCTTCCTGGCAACTAATTCAAGGCCTAGCACTTGGTCAGTGTGCACTAAATAAATGAATGGTATTAGAAAAGAGACATACATTAACACCACAGAACTGAGGGACTATTTGACTTAAACATCAGAAGTAGCTGATGGCAGACTAACATTTAGCATTCGTGTCCCTTAGCAACATTTTCTTCATTTAAACAAGCCGTTACAATTTAAATAACACTCTCCTATAACTTTGAAGGTTTTTTTTTAAACGTTCTCTTTATACAAAAGTCAGTACCTTCCTGGAATTTCAAAACCGTTTTCCTAATCATCCATTAAACTGGTACAACGTGGTTCCCCCTCTGGGCTATACGGCTCGCCATTATTGTCCACATCTCAGTATTCAGTGGGAAGATGATGCCTGATCTTCAGAATTCAGACCCAGCTTTTAGTCTTAGCCTTGCCATGAGCCCATTGTGTAACTTCCGTTATCTCTGAAATCTTGTGTCCTTCTCGAAAAATGTGGTGATGGAATTAGATGGTACAAATGACAACTCTGCTCACAAGCTTTTATGAGTCTACGAAAGATCTTGACTTAACAAGTAGCCAACGCCAAGTAAAACGAGATTCTATATCATCCGTAACTCCCTTTGTTTTGATATCATCTGTAATTCTCCTCTTTGCTCGTCAGTGAGGAAGCACAGTCCTCTTTTTCTCTCTTTTTCTGTCACCTGTTTCCCTGACTCTTCTATCCTCCCCATTGAAGGACGGATTCTTGGGTTGATCTCAGAGATTAACAAGGTATCAATCAAGATGTATTATGCACAAGTAAATAAGTATTTAGGCAAACCTTTTCCAAACGGTGTAAGTCCCTACCAGTGTAATTGAAAAGCAGATATGCTGTGGCATGTGGTGGAAGCGTGGGAAGACAGCACTGAAGAATAACGCAGGCTGAAAATTACACACAATTGTTAGTTGAACAGCAAATGTATTCACTCTTCCTCTGAAGCACCAGGTCAGATAGAGCCGGAAGGGCAAAGCAGGATCTACCATGGTTGAAAATGTCAATGTATTCACTCAACTTCTTCTTATAGACAGCTTTGGCCCAGCACTGGCTAGGTGCCCCACTCTCTGCATGGACAGCTGGCATTGCTCAGAAGAGGTAACGAGAGAACAACGCTACAGAAATGCCAAACCTTTATATAGGCTATCTGAGAGACATTTGGAAAAACTGGAAAAGGCACTAGACTTAGATGCAGAGGACTTGGACGTAGTTTCTATCTAGCTCAGTCACTATCTGGGTCTATGACTTTAGTTCTTAACCTCTTTGAACCTCAGTGACCCTTCCTATCTGTACACTAAAGATTAGATATCCACTACCATTCCCTCCAACTCTCATGTTTCCATGATTCCCCCACAAGTCCACAATTTCAAGGAGCTAAGGTTTCTTACAAAACTATGTTTTAACTCCTGTGAGACCAGGGAGTATAGAGTGAGGGAAGGTAGGGTTGGGATCGACACATTAAATGTCCATCTGCCTTGCACAGAGTACCAGAAAAAATAAATTAACACTAATGATGCACTCCTTATTCTTGGCAATGCTGCAGGTGACAAGAAAAACTCAGCGGCATTTCAGGATCCAAACGAACCACGAAGCAGCAAGGGAGAGAAGCGTCAGGTCTAGACAAGAAAACATTGTCTCAGATAAAGAAGTTAGACAGGGCCGGGCCCAGTGGCTCAGACCTGTAATCCCAGCACTTTGGGAGGCCAAGGCAGGCAGATCGTTTGAGGTCAGGAGTTCAAGATCCGCATGGTCAACATGTTGAAACCCCATCTCAACTACAAGTACAAAAATTAGCCGGGTAGAGAGGGGCATGCCTGTAGTCCCAGCTACTTGGGAGGCTGAGACAGAAGAATCACTTGAACCCGGGAGGCAGAGGTTGCAGTGAGCCAAGACTGTGCCACTGCACTCTAGCCTGGGAGACAGGGTGAGACTCCATCTCAAAAAAAAAAAAGAAAAAGTGAGACAGAACACTGACATTCCTCCACGCCGCACTTTCACTTCAGATTCAGAATGGCACCGGAAAAGGAAACAATCAACCCTGACAGGGAAACAATAGCACTGAAAGATCAGGACTCTCAGGAGAGAAGGTTAAGGATGGAACAAATACGGACTAAGTGGCCTTTTGTTTGCCACAGTTTCTATCAGTCAAGGGAAAAAACAGACATGGTTGACAATAGTCAGGACAGACCACTTAAGAGCTAAAAGGTCACAGAGAGTCCCAGCTAGGAGAAATCTTAGGAACTAATTTACCTCTTCTAATTTGGGTATTCAAATACCGAGATTTGGAGAAGCTGAAGAGACTTATCCAATGTAATAGAGCAGCTAGAACATACTGGAGGCTGGGTTTAAACCCAAACGTTCTACCTCCAAAGAGCATCTGCAGGGGGAAAGTTTGATTAAACAAGCTTGTAATTCTATTGATGGCTAGATTATAACTAGATGGGGTAGGTAAAAGGCAATGGAATAGAGCACAGAAGTAAACAATTTCTCTGCCAAGAAAGTTCACAACCGTGACACTGAAAATTAGCACAGAAGAAAAATGGCCCCAACCTTGCATTCCAGGTCACATTTGATAAGAATAGTTCCACGTGGCAAAGTAACCAAGAAAATGTGAATTTTCTCTGGACCTCAATTCCTGCAGATCTAAAATAATAAGCAATCCATGATGATCTTCAAAATCTCCTCCCACAACTTCTTATGACCCATAATGTTATCGCTAGTCTGTGGACTGTGCTGTGCTGGCAAAAAATGGGCTCTTTGGCAGGTTTCTTCTTAGTCCTTGCTTCTAACAGACTGCTTTTCTGTCCAAGGCCAAGAGAAAACAGGCAACCATAGCCTGTACCTCTTTGAGTTCAGTAAATCTACTTCTAAAAACGGAAATCTGGATTTGCAAAGGTGAGATGCTAAGTGCCTAATTCATAAAGATTTTGCCCCTCACCCAGGAGGAAAAAGTGACGATAGGAAAAATCACCAATATGATCTCTAAGGAGACCTAGCAATCTCTTTAACGGTTATCTAGCATCTTCTATTTCTAAACCTACCAATAACTGTGTAAGTCTGCAAGTTAACTGCTGCTCACTTAGCTATGTTGCCCTGACAGCTTGTTCAAACTTGTAATAAAACATGTAAACACTCCATTTTAGATATCCATTTACAAGTCTGTCATGCCCATCACTGAGGCCATGAAATTTTGCTACCACTTCAGGATATTCTAATTATCTTAATTTTTTAATGATTTTATTTGTATTTTTCTGTTATTGAATATTTATTTTGATATGTCAATAAAATGAGGAAGATTTTAAAAGCAATTTTAGTTATAACTTAAAAAAGTAGAAATTCTTAATTTTTTTGTTCAATGAATATGAGTCTACTATTGATGAACGCTAAGACATATTTACATCTGATAACATTGCTTGTGGCTGTGAAGCAATGTTTATTCAGGCCACATAATCTGCTAAGAGTAATCATAGCAACAAGATGGGGAGTTACCAATTATACTTCAGCCTTTGAACATCATATTGTTCACAAAACTGTCAACCGTGTTGTTTATATCCTATATCAGAACTACTATAAATTAGCTTAGAACTTTTGAATTGAGTTTGGACATTATAATTTATTTATTTATTTTTATTATTATTATCATTATTATTATTTAGAGACAGGGTCTCACTCTGTTGCCCAAGCTGTAGTGCAGTGGCACCATCATGGCTCACTGAAGCCTGCAACTCCTAGACTCAAGTATTTCTCCCACCTCAGCCTCTCTAAAGTAGCCAGGACTGTAGGTATGCCACAACGTCTGGCAAATTTTTTAATTTTTTTGTGAAGACAAGGTCTCACTATGTTGCCCAGGCTAGTCTCGAACTCCTGGGCTCGAGCAGTCCTCTCACCTAAGCCTCTCAAAGTGCTGAGATTAAAATCATCACACCTGGCCTATAATTTAAATTAATATTATTGAATTAATATTTTATTGTTATTCTAAATTAAAGTTTCCAGTTTAATCTCTGATTCTCTAATTACATATCATCTTAAATATCTATTAAGAAAAAGCTCAGCTGGGAGCAGTGGCTCACACATATAATCCCAGCACTTTGGGAGGAGACCATGGATTGCTCGAGGCCTGGAGTTCGAGATCAGTCTGGGCAACATAACAAGATGTGTCTCTGGGAAAAAAAAATAATAATTTCTTTAAAAAATTAGCTGGGAATGGTGGCTCACCTCTCTAATCCTAGCTACTCAGGAGGCTGAGGTAGAAGGATCACTTGAGACCAGGGGTTCAAGGTTACAGTGAGCCATGACCATGCCACTGCACTCCAGCCTGGGCAATAGAATGAGACCCTGTCTCTAAACAAGTGTTTAAAAATCAACTTTATTCTAAAGCAAAATATAAGTATATTGCTAAATTTAAAATTTTAATCCATAAATGATAGAAAAATAAAGTGGTACCAGAGACATAAATTATCAACCTTCAAGGACCATGAGATACAGTTTTAGAAAATAAAGAAATCCAACCTCATGCATTATATACTCTGA